GAGATATATAATGGATTTCTCGCATCTAAAATATTCAGAGTATAGATATAAGGCCTAATGTTATTTGAAAGACAGAAAAATAATTATACTTATCTCTGAACATGAAATAACCATATAGGAAAATTATTTTAATACTAAAAAGTGTGATTAATTTCTTGATCATCCGACAGATGTACAAACATATAGATTTTCAATGTACTGTGATTATTTATAGAAATATTGTTACTGGAATTTTGCAGTTTCCTTTGAGATTGCCAGATAATATAAAGGAATCAGGGCCTCCTCTTGGAGGTATTAGTCTCAATAATTAAATAATTTAAGAATGGACTCACAAATGGTAATTTGAAAACAATATAATTAGAGTTTGAAAGGAAAACCCTCCAGGCAGAAAAGTTATAAATCTCACCAGTTGCCCAGAGAAGGAGCATGGAGGAGAGAAGTGAAAAAAGCCACGCTATTCAAGCTGTTATAGAGATCAGATACGTGGCAGACACAGCCACATGGTAGGTAGAGGGGCTTTAGATAAAGAATAAGAAAACCCAATGTGTTAGGTAAATCATGCTTACAAAGTGACAGAAAGAAGAACAGGAAAGGTTATGCTTTTCTGAAAATTTAGGAAAGCAAGTAGTTTTGTAATGTTTCAAGGCTATTGCCTGGTAAGCGACTGTGCCAGGGGTGGGATTCTGGAAAGGAAAAGTGCATTATGCCATTAAAGCACTGATGATTCTATCTCTTTAGCATGGCTTAAGGCGAACTTGCCTTCTTAGCAGTGGTCCCTTGGTTCATTGACCTGACTCAAATGGAATGTTAGGTTTTCCCCCAGGCCAGTGATTTTATACTCTTGACCAGAAGGAGTTTCATTTATCCCACCGTTACTACTACTCTAGCAATATCATAGAGGAATAAACATAATTACAATGAACAAAGTTTATCATATGATTACTTATCTTAAAGACAAGCATGTAAAGCCTACATGTGGAAAAAGTAAAATAATTCGTGATTCAGACACGAGTGTATTTTAGACATTTTAACCCTTTCAACAATGATAAACACATAATAAACTAATTACTTGGGGAATTAGTAATAACCTATCATCCTACATGGCAGAAATATAATTTCAATGCAATTAATCAAAAAGAGAAATCTACTGGTTTGTACAACCAAATTAAAACTGGAGCAAGGTGAACTTGCCTTTGAAATAATCAGACTTGTGTATTGCTGACACCTTCGCCATGGAATCATATGATCAGTTCCCAGGAAAGGATGGGGGCACTGACAACACAGTGGGCAGTAACAGGGATGACAGGTTATATGGGCTCTGGTTGGGGGGAAGGATATGGGAGGGTGCCATTTGGGATGGGGGTATAAAGATGATTAAGATTGTGTGGGTTGCTCTGTATGAAATACACACACAAAATCAATTTTAAAAGAAGGAAATGATCAGAGCATCAGAATTTTATTTTATTTATCCTAATACGTTTTTCCTGGCTGGTGGGTCTAATGTTATGGTTAAGGATATTAGACTTACATTTCTTCAATTCTAGCAAGGGAGAGGAAAAGAATTTTCTGAACTGACTTCAGTTCATAAAATGAATAGAAAACGTGTTTGATTGAGTCTTGTCAATAGCTACTATATAAACTACCACTGATATAGAATATATTAATTATGTAAAATAATGAGCAACCCCCATTCAATTTGAAAAGCTAAATTAGAGAAAGTGAGAGGAAAGACTCTACATAAGCAACGAAGGAAAATATCCAGGGCTAGTAGGAAAATTGGATAAAAGCTGGAAAACAGCCCCAGTTTTTGATTATTGTGTCATGAAATCTTGCACATTATAAGTTGAAATTTAAAGTCAATACATAACTTGTTTCAAATTTCAGTAGACTTTTGTGGGATGTGTGTGGCAATAAAGAAGGAATTTTTAAAGTGAGAATATATAGCACCTGAATAAATAACTTTCCACTATTAACTTCTGTAATATGTGATTATTACTCTTTACATTCTAAGACCTGTGAAAAATTAGTGTATAACAAATATTGTCTGAATGTAACAAGGCATCACTGTTGGTGGCACAAGTGAATTTTCATCAAGATATAAACAGGAAACCTTTATTTTATAGAGAAAACAAAAATAAACTCATGATATGCTAAAATTCAAATGTAAATATAAAGACACAAAAATATGACAGACTATATAAGTATCAAGGAATATGGAAGCTTTCTTAACCCAAGTTAGGATTCAGAAATTATAAAATCAAAAGGAGATGAAAAATGTTAGGGACAGAAAAGTTGAAAATGCCTCTAATTTTTTTCTGTTTTTCTAATTTCAGTGAGAACCAGAGTAATCTCACAGACTTGGTAATACTAAGTACTAGAACCAGAGTTTGTGATCTGGTAAATCCATAATAGGACCTGAAAGATTGCATTGCTAAAATCTTTCCAGGGGACACAGATACTTGTCTAGAATCATACTTTGAGAGCCAGAGCTTGAATGGACTTTTAGAATTACATCTCTCCCCTGAGCTGCAAGCTGTAGACACTTTTCTCCATGTTATACATTCATTAGCGAATGCTTTAAGCTGGATAGTGTGGTACAATAATCCAATCCTAGCATTTGGGAAGCAAATTCATGGTAGTCTCAAATTTAAGGCGATCATGGGCTGCATACTGAGTTCCAGGTAACTTGGGCTATACAGTGAGGCTGTGTCTCAAAACCCAAAACAAGAACTGAGCAAAAGCTAGGTCACATTCTGGAAGTTTTATCTTTGCTATTCCTAGTTTCTCTATTCCATATTCCTTCTATAATTTTCCAAGTTTCTCTTTTTGGGGGAAGGGAACCAGAAATGTTTGTTAAGACATTATTATCTGAAACCAAATCTATCTTAGAGATGTAGTAGCATAATTCTTTAATGTATAAGTGATTTTCTGAAATTAACAAAAGATTAAATGTTACAATAGAAAAATAGGAGATGAGATCATGTACTCTGGAGTGGAATTTGAATGATCATGGCTCTGGAACAGATTTTGGTCACCCCAAATTCCATATTCCGATTGGTAACAGAATTATGAATTTTTAAATAACAGAACAAAGCAAGTCATAAATCAGGCACTTTTCAAACACATTGTTGGTAATATTAAGTAGGCAGTTACAGCAATCAGGGACACCTCCACTATAAGCTACAGATGCTAAGTAAGAGTAATCTTTGCCTTTTGGTTGGTGGGAGCTAAGTGCCTGATTGTACATTCCAAATAATTTTCCTATGATCACTAAGATATTAGGTAATATGCAGAGGAGGTACTATATCACTATTAAGACAGCTGAAGATGGCTGAAGATAATTTCACTCTGGGCATGGACCATTCAAACTTCACAATGATTACCGAAGTTTTAATCAGTTAATGGGCCTTATAAAAGGTTGAGCGGAAGGTGCAAACTCTTTCTGGAACTTTCATTGACACCCCTATATAATAAGAAAAATAAAGGTGTCATAAGATGGAGAAATGAAGAGATTTGATTAAAAATTTTATCACATATTAAGATGGTTAAAATATAATAATTTCCTAACAATTCATTTTCAGGGAGTCTGCCTGTGGTAGTGAGTTCCTACAATCCCAACACTCAGGGTGTGAGGCAGGTGGATGTCTCAAAATTGGAGACCACCTTGAGCTACACAGTGAATTCCAGCACAGCCTGGTCTATAGTATGAGATTCTACAAACAAACAAACAAACAAACAAGCACACAAGCAAACAGAAAAGGAAACAAAAAAGGAAAATTGTACATTTTTTAAATGATTCTACGTTTTATATTTTTATGTGTATATGACGGTGCATCTGTGTGTGTGGGAGGGGTGATCTCTGCATGTGTGAGTGTAGGTGCCCATGGCATCTAGAAGAGTAAATCAGACCCCTGGAAATGAAGTTACAGACAGTTGGCTATGGACAGATGTGAGTTGCCCAACATGGGTTCTGGGAACTGAACTCAAGTGTTCTGTAAGACAATGAACCATGCCTCCAGCCTCTTGACCTAATTGTTTTTTTAGACTTTTTAAAACAGGGTCTCCCAGTAACCCAACTGTCCTGGAGCTCACTATGTGTTAGACCAGGAACTCACTATGTGGTAGACCAGGCTAGCCTTGAACTCACAGAGATTTGCCTGCCTCTGCCTCCCTGGTGCTAGGATTAAAGGTGTGTGCCACCATGCCCAGCTGCTTTTTAAAAAGTAGTAGTAGTATCACAAAGTGTTCACATACCTACTCAAGAAATTTAAGAATGAATTTTATTTTGATAGTTTGTTATTTAAAACAGATCCTAGATATGGAGAAGGAGCATGATAGTGGAGCTATAAATAAATTTGTCTGTCTTGGAAGAAAAGCTAATGCCAAATAGTGGGATTCATTTCCATGTGGAATATGAAACAATTTTAGAACATCTTATAGCATTCCTCATACCAAGTGTCAGTACTTTGTAAAATTGCTTAAAGGTACCTATATTCACACTCTGATTAAATTGTTGTTTGTTTATTTTAAAGGAGTAAATTATCAAATCCCCCTCATTCTTCGTTACTTCCCCTTCAACTACTGCTCTACACCCCCCCACACACACTATTCGCTCTTAACTACCCATGCTCTTTCCTTCTTATACTCAGTGAGTCCACTTAGTGCTGGCTCTTTGAGCATGGTTGTAGGGCCATCTACTGGACCATGGGTAGAATTTCCAGGGATGCATCTCTGAAAAAAACAAAAACAAAACCACTGACTTTTCCCCCTCTAGCAACCATCAATTGCCAATAGCTTTTCTTCAGATAAGAGTGGGAGTTCATGAGCCCCTATAGCATCCATGCTGGAATTTTGACTGCCTTGATCATGTGTAGGTCTTGTGCATACAATCACAGCTGCTGTAAGTGGATATGTGCAATGGCCCTGTCATGTCCATGTCCAGAAAACACTGTTTTGCTGCACTCATCCACAATTGCTGGCTCTTCCAATCTTTCAACACACTGCCCTCCCTTCCTCCCTCCCACTTCCATGATGATCCTTGAGCCATGGGAGGAAGGGGTATGATGCAGATGTCCAAATTAGGGCTGAGCACTCTTCAGTTTCTTATTTTCTTCAAGTTTAAAAGCTGTGAGTAGTTGTAATGATAGGCATCTACTGCCAAAAGAAGCTTCTCTAATGATGATTCAGAGGTTGTATAAGGAAACAAAATACAGAGTTCTCAAAAGAAGTAATATAAATGGATGAGAAATATTTTTATAATGTTCAACATTCTTAGCCATCTCAGAGATTGAAATTAAAAGTGCTTTGAGATTTTATCTTACCCCAGTCAGAGTAGCTAAGATTTAAAAGCCAAACAAAACAAATTAAAACAAATGCTGTTGTGAAATGAGGAAAGGGGAACACTTATTCATTGTTGTTGGAATGCAAACTAGTACAATCATTATGGAAAACAGTGTAGAGTTTCCTCAAAAGATAGAAATAGGTCTACCATATGATCCAGCTCTACCACTCCTGGGCATGTTCCTGAAGAACTCAATATTCTATACACATACTTGCTCATTCGTGTTCATTGCCGCTGTATTCATAATAGCCAGGAAATGGAAACATCTTAGATGTCCATCAACTGATAAACATAATGAAAATGTGACACACATGCACAATGACATTTTACTCAACTGTAAGGAAAAGTGAAATTATGAAATTTATAGGCAAATTGAAATAATCACTCTGAGTGTGGTAACCCTGACCCAGAAAGATGTGTCCCATGTTGTTTTCCACACATGGATGCCAGATATAAATATTTAGATATATTTGTTTAAAATGGAAGATCAATAGAAGCCAGGAAATTAGTAAGGGGCCGCCCCAGTTAAGAGCTGGATGTCAAAGAAGAGGGAGATAGAACATAGACATCAAGAATAATGGAGAAAGAAGTCTTAAGTTCTGGTACGTGATGAGAAGGCAGGATAGACTAGAGAGTGTATGGAGGGATAAATAGTACAAAACACCCTCAAAAAGCCATAGTACTGTAGACACTTCCTAAAGTAGACACATATGCAAAATATTTTAACAGAATTTTCTCTGTAATAATGGGTGGGGAAATAAAGCCTCTCCCAGACAGCATAGGCTATCAAACACAAGTCCCAGTTCCAGGTATATGGTAACTCTTTTCGAACTGCTGGTCAGTGGGATCCCAGTGTACCCCCATACATTATGGGCTATTGCCACTGTTCTTGGTTATTCTCCCTTGTAGAAGCCAGTTTTAACATCTTGCAGGTTTCCTCCTTACTTAACTGGTTGAAAATAAAATTATTAACATGTTTCGAATTCATATTTTCATGGAGTCTTGATTTCATATTTTAAATTTAATGAACAATATTTACAGAATACTAGAAGACACCCTAAAACATGTTTCCTTAACTTATTTTTATTCTTCAAATAAAAAGTACATACTGGAGAGCTCTTCTAGGATCTTTACGTGATTCACTCTCACATAACATACACTCTGTATTCATGAATTTATTTCAGAAATTCATACTGAAAGTCTACATTTGAGTATTTCTCATACACAGAAGCTATTTCATCTGGTCTACTTATTTCTATGGAAATATTTGCAACATAGGCACAACTTTAATAACCGAGAATTTATTTATCTACATAGTAAATGCCTTTTCCTAATTTAAACAACTTTGATTATCATAGTAATATTATTGTGGGAGAGGTGAATTTTAACTCTGCCCACTTAGAATTTTTTTAGTCGGGCCTGAGAATTAATTTTACATAAGACAGATAAAGATGAGGAAAGAATATAAATGTGTTTATCATAAATTTCATGAGGTGTGGTGGTTAATACTCCTTGTCATTTTGACAGCATTTAGAATCACTGTGGACAGAAAGCTCTGGATATGTTCATGAGGGAGGTTCAAGGTGAGGATAATTATGGTGGGAAGACTGTCCCTAATTACACTCTTTGGCTTGACGTCCCAGATGGTCTGAAAAGGAAAAGGCAGGCTGCACATGAGTATTCAATACTCTTTGCTTCTGGACAGTGGATGCAGTGTGACCAGCCACGCCCTGCTCCTGGTACCCTACAATACCCTCTGTGATGGACCAATCTCTCACAGTCTAAGAGCCAAAATAAACCCTTCTTTTAGTTGTTTTTTGGTAAGATTTTTTTCTCAGCAATGAGACAAATAACTAATTAAATGTGCTATTGGGAGCGTTCATAAAGAAATGAAAACCCAGAGATGCAGTTAGAATTGAATAGCTACATAATGAATTCTATAAAGTGTACTAAATTGCAAAGATGCGATAAGACAAAAGGGCTTGAACTAGTGTAGTTAATTTGATGAAGAAGTGGATGGGAAAATAAGGTTAGCTTCACAAATGGATTTGTACAACTACCTGTTTTTAGAGATAAGAATGGCACTTTCTTTGCTTGTAGGGAGAACACACAAACCTAGAACTTCACAAAGGCTAAGAAAACTGCTCTACCACTGAGCTGTATACTCAGTTCAGATCAGGATTACTAAAGTTTATACGCCATTGTTTGGTTGCTTTTTATTTATTTTGTATTTTGTGCATGTGTGTGTGTGTGTGTGTGTGTGTGTGTGTGTGTGTGTGTGTGTGTGTGTGTGTGTGTGTGTGTGTGTGTGTGTGTGTGTGTGTGTGTGTGTGTGTGTGTGTGTGTGTGTGTGTGTGTGTGTGTGTGTGTGTGTGTGTGTGTGTGTGTGTGTGTGTGTGTGTGTGTGTGTGTGTGTGTGTGTGTGTGTGTGTGTGTGTGTGTGTGTGTGTGTGTGTGTGTGTGTGTGTGTGTGTGTGTGTGTGTGTGTGTGTGTGTGTGTGTGTGTGTGTGTGTGTGTGTGTGTGTGTGTGTGTGTGTGTGTTTGTGCATATACACCTGAACATATGCATGTGAGTACCCATGGAGGCCAGAAGGAGAGGGTCTTTAGGGCTAGAGTTACAGACCTTGTGAAGCATGTTATGTGGGTGCTGAGAACTGAACTCAGATCCTCCAGAAGTGCAGCAAGTGCTTATACCACTGAGCAATCCCCTCAGTCTCTAATCATATATATATATTTTTAAATCACAGCAACAAGGCTAATAGATTTTTTAAAGTTATAAAATGCAAGCAACATTTACTCTACCAGATTGATAGGGTAGGATAAATTCCAACTTTGATATCACATTCTCATTATAAGTAACTAATATATTAAAAGATGGAAGGTAATGCCACAAATTATTGTTTTATAGCCTTAATTGTTAATTTGACAAGTTTGACCATTACCTGATGATATCAAACGCATTAACCTTGCTATATTTTTGATTGAAAAGAAGGGCAATTGTAATTCTAAACTTGGGTAATGACATTCATTAGCTCTGCAGCTCAGTTGATCTGGGATGAGAAAAACTGAACTGAATCTAATTCCATGACTTAAAAGTGATTGTTATGCCTCAAATGTACCTCTTCTCACAAGTGAACGCGTTGTTACTCATAATGACCTATGTTTTAAATATGACAACTTGAAAGATTTGAACCTTTTAAACTAACTTTGTATTTGATTCCCAATTGTCTACCCAACAGGCAAATCTGAAAAATCAGGGTGTCTTCTTTAGGATAAAACATGTGTTCTCTCTCAGTGGTGAATTAAGGGTTTGAAACAGATCCTGATGCATAGTACTTATAATTAACCAGCCAGTCCAGATGGAATAGAATGATACCAATCATTGCATAGCTTTTCATTCATTAAAAAGCTCTGATCTAAAGGAAATAAGTGTTGAAGAATATGGAGTGATTCCTTAATCTCCATTCCTATTTTCTTATTGTTTTTTGAAGGTAATAACAAAGTCTAACATGTCAACTTAAAACAGTAGGTGGTATGGAGTAAACATT